AGTAAGGGACAAAGTAATAAAACTGAATGAAGAGGGGTGAAACGACGAAGGATGTAAGGTTTATGTACAGAACTAAACAAAAAGGCTCATTCAAAGAACATCATCAGTGACCTGGGGCTCATTCACTGGAATGATGTTAGTGAAACTGATTTCGTTTAAAGTCTGATTCTTGCCTTGGGGTCAGTGGATACTGAAATTTCATATAATTAAAATTGATTAGCCATAGGTCGATATTCTTTTTATAAATCCGATCCCCCCTCAATATGATGGTCCTTTTTGCAGTTACAGTTGAAGACGTATACTGGGTGGCTGCCAATGTGTAGTACTTGAATATACGAGGAATCCCTAGATACAAAAAAGGTTATTGTAGTGAATAGAAAATACAAAACCCGTTAGAGCCGTCAAGTGCCTGGGGAGGGGGAGGTAATCAGATTTGATCTGAGGAAGGGAAGAGCTCTTCACCAATATCAACGAATTCCCTTGAGAGTTAAAAATAGGATAAGAACCCTGGTTTAAAATGATAGGGTCTCAAGGTACACAAGAATCCTTTAAAGAATATATAATTCCTGTGAACCTGGTTTCTGCTAAAGGGCATGGACTCTCCTTACATGTAGGTCACTTAAAGTGCACATGCACACCACCCAATCCACAGTTCATTTAAAGAGTATCAACTCAAGACGAAGAGTAAATATTCATCATACGCCTCAAAAAAAAAACAATAAAGTAGCAGGGTCAATACAGTGTACACAATTTATATAGACATGCCTGCATGGAGAAAATAAAATAGATCAGAGAAGTAATGTACATTCGACCTCACACCATTATTATCTCAGGTAATTCTTTGATGCCACCCACCACTATTTATTACTTCTTTGTATTGGGATATATTATATATATATAATATATATATAATATATATATATATATATATATATATATATATATATATAAGTCAAAAACTCTGCCGCAAGAGGCAAGTGACTATTAAAGTTACACTGAATACTGCCGCTACCGGTTCCTGCTGTAACTGGTGGTTCTGGAGATGACTACTTTAAGGAGTTGCTTGCTTGCTTGCTTGCTTGCTTGCTTGCTTGTTCTCTAAACCCCATGGGGCTCGTATTGAATTGCTATTGGTTTCATATAGGTCAGGTCAGACCAGTTTGGATAAGGTCAGGCCATGCTATCTCAGCGGCTCAATGGTCAAGTTACGCCAGGCCGTGTTAAATTACGTAAATCTAGGTTGAATTCTAACGTGTCAGGTTAAATTGACATAACAGATCGAATTAGGCTACGTTGCACTTACTAGGTTAGGTGAACGAGATCAGGCTTGTGTGATGGTGATAACTAAACACTTGTGACTGCCACAGGTGTGGATGATTCTGCAGCTACAGAATATACTCAGTCTACTGTAAAGATCGAAAATAACATGCTACAGACTATTTATACTGATAGCTCTCCCAATCCTAGCAGCTAGACGGTGGCAAGTGTTTGTCAGCTTAATCCAGTCCGATGGAAAGATAATTCAAAATTATGCATAAATCTAGTAATAATAATAACGTGGGCTTCCATTTTACAAAGTGAACTGTATTAAGTAAAAAGCATTAAGTAAAAAGAATGCTGAATATAATTTTGGGTTGTAAAAGTTAAAAAAAAAAAACATTAAAGAGAAAGAAGAAATTAATAAAAAAGTTTTAAAGTAGGGACTGGAACAAGAAGATGCAGTGTTCATCATAATTAAATTGTCAAGTAAAACATATGTTTGGAGGAAATAACAAAAACTAATTGTTGTCGTTGACTAAGACTAGGCTACACACACTATTTGGCAGTTCAACTTTTGTGGATATCTCAAGCATACGAAATGCAAAGGGCACAGGCAAACACAAGGCCAAGCACACTAAAGTAAACCAAAATTCATTTCATTATAGATCAGTTTAAACTCTTTCTGGAAGTGTAAATCACTTCAGTGTTGTTTAGTGGCTAGGATACGCAGCTCTCACCTGTAAGAGTTCCCAGGTTCATCCCAGACAGGTTCCCATATTACGAATGCAGGTGTAGTCTACTGGCCTGCACACCTGGTTGTAGTACGATAACCACTTAGGAACGAGCAAAAAGGCAGCAGAAAGATTTATTGTTTGTACTTCCTTCACCAAATAATAATCTGGTATGTACAATACATACAGCCTATGTACAATATAAACAGCTGTGTACAATAAGGCAAATGCAAGCACAAGACACGGTGAGAACCATAGTGACCAGACGTGAGGTTAAGTCTATCAAAGATGATTTACGAGTGTGCCACATCGCTTCACAACTTTGGAGGGCTTTCTTGTGACTGGCTGGTTGAACCAAGGTACTGGTATAATGATGGGGTCCCTACTTGTTAAACCCTAAGCACCTGCTTCGCTGGTCGGGAGGCATGCCTATATGAGTGTGTGACATACACCGAAAATGTAACACTCTTAACAAGCCATGGTCTGAAATCTTGAGAGTGAATCAACTATACCAGTGGTCCTTGGTTTGGGAGCTGGATTCTCCTTCCCATCTCTCCATAGGTAAGGAGTCATTGGAGATCAGTGTAAAAAATCGGGAAGGATTTGCTATGCGAAAAGAGCACAGTTCACTATCCAACTCAATAGTTACGAGCCAGTTTCATGAAATATCGGAAACATTAAAACTCAGTGGGAGAGTAGTCTTCAGTCTTTGTTATTCAGTGCGAGGAATCTACAAACCCAGCTTAGTGCTTCCAGTTACTAGTTTACTAAAAAATCATGAGAAATTAAACTAAACTAAAAAAAAAGAGCTGAAGTTTTATTGCACGCTGGAGACTAGTGAAAAAAAGACGATTTTTTTCACCGATATGTTAAAATGCACAAAAATGAAATATGGGAGAAGTTGATTGATGTTCGTATTGATGGAACTCCAGCCAGGCTTGAATCACACACTGACTTCACCAAAAACCTTCAACTTACTGCATCATACATCATGAGGCTTTGACAGCAACTTAACAAATATCTGAACACCATGATCAAAATTGTATGCCACACATAACATAGTGTCCTGAATACCCCATTGTTTATGTAACTTTAAAATGATTTAGGAGCAGAACACGAGAGACTACTGTTTCCACACCGGTGTGCCGACATTTAAAGCACAAAATGTTGGGTCGCTTGAATGAACTTAGAGAAGAGGCGAGGATATTTCTTAAATCTGATAGAATTGTCTTCTTCACTACATTTAATTTGAAGGTTAACCTATCAATGACTTCCTAGCAGATAATTTGAGGTGTTAAATGTTCTCAAATTTAGGCTGCAAGGTAGACACAACTATCATGCTATGATGGAATTCGAACATTCGTTGCTAAGCTACAGATGCGGGAAAAGTCATACAATACACAGGAACACAGAAATTTTTCCCTCTTAAAAGTTCTGAAGTACAAAAACTCATTGACAGTCTTCAAACCAAGATTATGAGTCACATTCGAGCTCTGGAGGACGAATTCCGTCAATATTTTCTAGGCCTAAATCAATGCAGTTTTGTCAGGGATCCTCTTTCGTTACAATCAAAGACATCCTTGAAGATGTAATAGTAGAAATTGTATAAATGAAGTTTGATTCCGTGGCAAAGGCTGAGTACAAATTTTGCCTTGGAGACGTTTTGAATGAAGTGTCGACCAGTATACAAAAATATTAGTGAGAATGCAAATTAGGTTGTCCTTCAAGTCATCATCCCATTTTCATTTTTCTAAATCGAATTATTAGGAATTTTGTGTTTTGCTTTATTACATTTTTGCTGTGCTTCTGTTATGCGATTTTGTTGTACTGTAGAAGAAAAATTTTAGCCACTGGAAAACGCCTAACACATTGTTTCTATATTTGTGATTTTCTTGTAAGTTATTTGGATGTTTGCAGTTACTTGATTATTTACGGAGAAATTATTAATATTATTACTGATATTATACTTGAAGTCATTGTTTTACAATGTTACGAGGAGATTTTTATTAACATCACCTTCAAAATATTTTAGTTTTTACTGAAAGTTCGAAAAAATCTAAATTTTCATATTTTTTTCAATCATACCTTTTTTCTTGTAATAAACGAATATTTTTCAATGTATCAATTATGAGATATCATTTTGTCTTTCCTTTAGTGAATACATTCAGAGTTGTCTGAATTTTATGTAAGCAGTGAAAGATAATGTATTTGTATGTGTAGTATTATATTCCATATATATTACTGTATCTCACTTCAAAGTAGTATCTAGAAATTTACAATGCTTCTTGACGTCTTTAATATGAGTGAATAATATCGAACTGTCTCTACTCTGCTACATTTATAATTATGCGAGACTTATTAGGTATGTATTTGATGTATACATGATATGATCCTCCTCCTCTTATGTTTACCTCACTACCAATAAGATTATTATACATTAAATTTTAAATTTTCGCCATTTTTCATATGTAAAATCTAGAAATGAGTTGTGCAATTTATGTCGGTAGTGACTATATACTTTACTGTACTTATTAATCCTGAGCCTTCATAATCGCCTTATGTTTAACAGCGCATGAAGATAGTTTCACTGATTCAGTAACCCTGTGTGTGAAAACCCATTCTGAGAGATGGAAAAGTATACCCACAGTGGAATACTCGATGTCACTGTCCATCCCAAGTGTGTCAGTACTGGCTGAGAATTTATTACCAGTGACGAGTCATCCTGCCTGATGGCCCTGCAAGTTGAACATGTGTTTTTGGCCCTCACCTCAATTTGGTACACATGTTCACAATAAAATATGAGGGTCAATAGTTACTGTGATTGCCGAGAGACAGTTATCGGAATGGTTAATACCGAGGATGACCTACAAGGATGAGTTTACAAAAGCTAATGGTGCTGAGTACTTACCTCTGAAACATAACCATCATGGCTGACAGTGGTTGCGTAAAGTTACGAGGATGAGCTACAAAGGTGAAGTGTGTCAAGGTGGTGGGAGAGTGAACACTTACCTCAGGTTCATGACCGTCGTGGCTGGCGCTGGTGGAGGAGCCGGAGACCATATTCTCTCACATCCACGCCACCACGCCCTCACCACCTGTCGCCATATAACACATTTTAATTATCTTCACAAATAAGGTTTAACACAATAGCTACAATAAACACACAGTTGCTATAGGCACACACTGCTGGTAAATTATGACTCGCTTCCACTGGGGTCCTGCTGATGATGATAATTTAATCGACGTGAAAGAATGACTCACAAGCGTGGTAGTAACGCCTCGCTATTATTAACCCATAATTCTGAGATTGGTTGGTTTATTAATTTTAATAGGTTTAAAGCCTATCAACGACACTAGTCATTAAGGTTGAATGTCACCGGTACACTACCAGTCAAGGATATTTATTCTTTAATCCTTAAAACATGTATTAAATTATTAGCGTATATACACACACCTCTGTATACACTCGTTTGCAACTTTAAGAGCTGACTTTAGAAGACGGCTCGGCCGAAAAGGTAAGACAGCTACAAGACAGGTCAGGTGAAGAAAATTTTTGTAGGAAAATTGTCTACAAAACCTCCTATCTCCCACCTGGGCATTAAAAAGGTGCTATTAATCAATATTACAAGGTGGCACGAGCCTTACTAAATACGCATTTACTAGCAATTCACCGGGTGATTTAAGTTTTAGTAATAATGATAGAAATAACAACAAAATGTTCGGTATGTTGCATCTGTGTCGATTTAAGTTTTCTTATGAATTTCAGGTTTAAACAATAGCTAACTGAATAAACCAAAATTACTGGAGAATACTATAATAGATTGCTCCCTTCAGAAGTGATATAAATTACGATAGATTAGGTATTTGTCGCAGCGGTTCGTCTAGCTGGGAGGCTGGGGCGGGCGGCAGTATTGTGAATTTCAATTGTGGTAGTGCACTAGGTTCGATCTCTGAATTTTACAAATAGCACAAGCGTGTCAACGCTTGGAGATCCTCCTCCCCAGCCTATCAAAAATAAACAATCGTCAGAGTAACAAGAGAAGCAGACACAGCTAGTGGCGCCCCTCCCTCCAAAATATAGTTGCCCAGGAGTGGCGTCTTCCGCTCTCAGAAAACCTTGGGTGGTTATGAGGTCTTTACCTCCAAATATGTAGCATTTCTGCAACATTATCTACTGCAAACCATATTGGTCATATTATTATGACCAGTATGATCATAATATAACCTAAAGAATGCTTCCGGCGGTCAACGCCCCCGCAGCCCAGTCCTAGACCAGGTCTCCCGGTGGGTCAAGGCCTTATCAACCAGGCTGTTACTGCTGTCCACACGCAGTCCAACGTATGAACCACAGTCCGACTGGTCAGGAACTGATCTGAGAACTTGTCAAGTTCTCTCTCGCAGACAGTATACCTGGATTACAAGCCTAACCTATCCCTTAGATTAGAAATTTCTAGGTATACCATGATTTACAGTTAACCAGTCATCATGAAGCACGAGGGTTTATCTAGCAAGCCGGTTAGTACCTTAGAGAAGAGCTAATGGGAAGGACCTAGCTAGTGACAGACTTTTATGTCAATTCTGTCCCAATATGCGTACGTGAATGGCATTACTCCTCTTGGTCCTTCATTCAATTTTATCCAGATAAATTGTTGTGTTGGAAATCTTTGAGGGTAAAAGTATCACCTCAATCAGCGAAGCAGTAGCCACATCATGTCAAAGAATCCCTCACAAGTTTTCATAATTTTTATATTATTTATATTTTCATTACTGTTAGATAATCAAGATGATGTACATATCAGTAGGTGGATGCTACAGAATAAACTATATCAAATCGTCAACAACGTCCCGCGGTTTCACCTGAACATACGACACGATGCAACATAGAAAGCAGCATTAGAACGAAAAAAAAGACGAAAGAAAAAGGAAGATATGAAAGAAAAAAAAGAAAGATTAAAAGGGAAGATTTAGACAAAGAATAGGATGACAAAGGATGAAAGCGAAAGATTAGGTAGGACGCAGAGGAAGAACAAGATGAAAGAGGAAGATTAGGAGATTATGAAGTGTTACAAGGAAGATGGACAAGCAAGAACTTGGGTGCAAGTTAAAGGAGTAAGGCAGTAGCTGGCTGAGATGAATGGATGGTGTGTTGGTCAGTAGCTTGTGTGGACCACCTGCCCACCCCTACCCACCCTCTATGTACCCCACCACACGTTATCCACCCTTCTTGCTCTACCCCATCACACACACTAACCCAACCTCCACACACACCAGCTACTATCCATCCTTCTTGTACCCAACCATACACATACCATTACCACCCTTTCTTGTATCCTACCACATGAGCATACTGCCCACCTTCTGACCCCTCAATCCCACAATAACCAGCCCCAATCACCATCACAGACCAACTCCAAGCTACCATAACAACCACATCCAACCATAAACATTATCCTCCAAAACCAACCATAAACACTGCCACTACCAGCACAAAGAACCATTCCTCAACCACTACAAACTATCAACAATGCCCCTACCAACCACACCCATCACAATAACCACCCCAGCCACGACTACCACAACACGAGCATCATAAATTAAAAGTCTGAAAGCACACTAAATAGTGATGGCTGGTTGAACATGTCTGACACGTAAACTGATGGTCTACAACTTTTATTCAAATAAACGAATGTGTGTGTTCGTATTTTATTCGTGCAGTTAAAAAAGTCCTAACCAAGTATACAGTTTAATACATGCACACACGCAGTTGAATACATACACATGCACACGTATAATTAAAAGCACGCACACGCACATACAAAAACACACACATGTAAAGAGCTGAATGCAAGCTCAGGGGGAAGTATAAAGCTGAATACGCACACAGGTACACGTATAGACCTGAATACACAAACAGGCACACGTATAGAGCTGAATACACAAACAGGCACACGTATAGAGCTGAATACACAGGCACACGTATAGAGCTGAATACACAAACAGGCACACGTATAGAGATGAATACACAAACAGGCACACGTATAGAGATGAACACACAAACAGGCACACGTATAGAGATGAATACACAAACAGGCACACGTATAGAACTGAATACATACACAGGAGGAAATTTAGAGTGGAATATGCACACGTGCACACCTACAGAGCCGAATACACACACAGGCATACATATAGAGCTGAATACACACACACACACACACACACACACACACACACACACACACACACACACACACAGGCACACATATAGAGCTGAATACACACACAGGTACACATGTAGAATTGAATACACACAGGCACACGTACAGAGCTGAATACATACATACTGTCATGCCGGGTCTCGGGGTGTCACCTTAAATCTACCAGTAACTTAATTACAATTAGGATAATAGACTTTAGTACTAATTACCTTCACTCTTGCAGTGATTCACTGGTATTCACATAGCACTGTTCCAACCACTCTTATAGAGGGTGTTTCACTCGTAGGAGGTCCCGAGTTATCATTTACTACTGCAAACCATATTGGTCATATTATTATGACCAGTATGATCAGACATAATATACAAACAAGACGGTTGCAGCTACGGGAGTACCAACTCGGGGGACTTCGTACGAGTGAAACACCCTGTACTTTCTACACCTATAATATTAATATTAATATCAATAAAGGAATTGAATGAGGAATTGTGGATCAAGAGCATGAGGATTAGAGAAGCTCATGAAAATTTTATTATTTATTGAGCACTTCAACTTATTCAAGAGTTGACTCTTACTAGAGAGAGCACAACTCACAATATTAATTACAAAGACTGGGACAATATTACTGGGGGTGAGGAAAATACAAAGAGATAAACTTGCCTATCATATTTTAGATTAGTATACAACACCGACATGTTGATGTGAGATTGATTATCTCGCACCAAGGCTGAGGGACTGATTACCTCAAACTACTACTCCACGTCGTCTACCGTCTCCAGGAGTGTAATTTATCTCTGTATTCTATTTATGAAGCCTGCCGCCTGCTGGGCAGACGAAACGTTTCGTTAATAAGGAATCCTAATACTGCGTTAGATGAACTTACGATCTCTGGTACTCACAACTGCTGTATTTTCTGTCATATAAGGCGCGCTCCCCCCCCCCCAAAAGTGTAGGCTTTGTGTTACGCTTTAGCAGTTACTAACGTTACTTTACAACCGATTGAAAACATTGTCACATGTCTTACATGCTCGTGCGCCTTATATGTCGGAAAATATGGTAGTTCTTCCAGTTTTTCGCCGATATACCTTCCACTCTTACTTATTTAAAAGTATGTCCTGCTATACACAATAGGGTTTTAGACCAAAGAAAAACTTTACCTAAGAGACAAACACGTAAGAATATATACACAGGCAAATACAAATTTGAATACATATGCAGGTACACACAAAGTTTAATACATACACAGGCACACATATATAGTTGAATACGTTCACAGGCATAAAGCTGAATACATACACGTGCAATTTATAGTGATTTCTTGCCATGGAGTAGAGCACACACACACACACACACACACACACACACACACACACACACACACACACACACACACACACACATACACACACACACATACACACACACACATACACACACACACACACACACAACACACACACACACACACACACACACACACACAAACACACACACACACACACACACAAACACACACACACATATACGTATCAAGGCCAGGAATCGGTACTCTCGATCGATAAGAGTTAAGAGGCAAGTCAAGGAGCTCTAACTAGACCAGTGCAAGCACAACTAGGCGAGTACATTATGTTACATCAAACATAAGAAAAAAAAGTTAACAAACCATTCCACGGGTGGGGTTAGAACCCGAGATCAGTCACAAAACTCCAGACCGTCGCGTTAGCCACTGGACTAGCTAGCTACAATAAGATTCATCCAACTAGGTATATTTCTACACCATAGGAAGGTTAGCATAGGCACCACTGTGACCAGAATTTCAAGTTTTTACAGACGAATCTCCCTCTAGCGAGGCCGTGACGAACTCTAGCTCAAGTCCCCT